ATAAAAAATGTTCTTATCAGAGGTACACAGGCTAGCAACTCAAAATAGGGTGAGATTTTTCTCAGTATCACCATAACATCTATATCAAAAGTAATTTATCTTTGATGTATTCACTGATATGAAGACTTGCATTACTACACAGAGAGCTCACCTACAGAATCACAAGCTTGCTTTTCGACATCAGCAATGACTATTGTAAGACTAAAATTACTTCTCGTCAAACACATCTTAATGTTTGGCACAAGGGTATAAACTGCGCTTACAAAATTAACAAATATGTGAGATTGCATTTTGTACAGAATGATCTTGACAGAAGTAATAAAATGTTCTCATTTAATCTTAAAGGTACAAAGTTCACATACGTAAATAAAGAGAAACAGCTCTTGTCAAGAGCGAATCATCTGCGAATGATAAGCCCTTGCGAGTTTAGAGATTTCAAGATGACCATGTTATGTTTGGTTGCATGCTGTTGAAAATAGGGCCAGTTATTGGGTTGAACTATCTATATATTGCATTGAAAAAGGTCAAATGGCTCTCATCCACCTGTAACATCATATGACTTAGTCTTTGATGAACTAACACCTGTATCAAAGTGGTAAAAATAAAACTTAATTTGAACAGTCTCACTCAGGCCCTGTGAGATATGCTTGAACACATTGCCCTTGGGCTTAAAAAGCCAGCATTTTTTGGATCATGAGCACAGGATCAAATGTACATATAAATTTATTTCAAGGAAAGATAATTTCAATACAATCAAACAGACTGAAATTGAACTTCTAGATTACAACCTGAACATTGAATTATAGCAACAGGGACTTCCAACCGGTTTGTTTACAGAAAATGCTCAACTTCTTCTTTTGACAACAGAAATTGAAACTTACACAAAAGTTAACTTTCTGTATACAAGGAAACGTTTCGTTGAAAGTCTTTCTTCATTGGTTTTATTGAAGCGATATATCTCTAGGAAGGAATGAAATATGCAGAACATCACGAAAAAGAAGAGTAACGAAAGTGCAATACGGAACGAACGAAATCGTGTCAGATAATATTTCCATATCAAAGATGCTCGTTCTTCAGTGATAAGGACACTGCAAAAGTGGGATTCTTTTCAGCAGCATCTCAGGAGCTTTCCTCAGAAAACAAATGTGTGTTTCACAGTTTCCATGGTGCGGTTTAAATGTTCGACTTCGTTCAAGATGGTCGCCCGTGGGGGCCATTGCAATCGAAACAAACGTCTGGATCGCTCGCAATTCGCCTGGTTTTTTGTAAAATGAAAACGCTCGTGGAAAAAGTTAGGGTAGATTGAAAAACATTGATTAAAACTATGACATAAAAAATATGATCAGGAACTTTACGGACACACCTCAACCCATTTTAAGAACTGAGAAATGACTCGTTATCGTCGAAATATTCATAGCAATTCGACGTTTGTATCTTTTCTCGAGGAAAGCATTGTTCAAGCGTTATATTTGAGCCTTTGCTGACTTGGCTTTAATTTCATTCGCTGTAGAATCTCTTATAAAAGTGATATTGCCCGAAAAAGATGGCAAGAGAGAGTTCGAAAGGTAAAGCTTCCGTTTTGAGTTGACTTTAGGAAGCAAAGAGAGTCAGTCTTTCAATTTCGAACATTACACCATTGAACTTGTAGGCAAAAAACACAACTCGCAATTTAATCGGCACAACCGCAAAAGCTCCCCATAGTTGATACTCCTTTCGACAAGAATTGCTGAAAGCTATCCAAAGAACAACAGATGGAGCGAAAATCGAGGAGCATTGGAAAGAACTCCGCAGCAACGATGAAACTAGACGAACTTTCAATGGCTTATCCATTTCAAGAAATGTAGTTCATTTCCTTTTTAAATTCCCAATCTTTACTCAATTTTGCCACGGTCATAACGAAAAATCAATAAAAACTATGGCTCAAGCATCATTTCTGAAACATCTCTGTTTTTTTTTCTGTTTAATGATCTCGCTGCTTCGAATCATAGAGATGACGGTGCTAACTTGCTATGGTCGACATTATATTCCGACCACAAAATGCGACTTGCAAAATTTACCTCCCAGTTCGTTTAGTTAAGAAAGCTAGTTTTCCTCACATTAACAGACGAGGAACAAGACCTTTGGAGCCTTTTTCTGGTAGCGATCTCAAGCGTAATGAATGCAATATTCGTAAGGAACATGGAAATGGTCTCTTGCAACATCTGCCAGTGTGTACTATAAATATAAATACTGAAGCGAGAGAAAACTTTCCTCTGAAATATCTCGCTCCTAGACATAAAATCACATCGGAAAGACGAAACATGGAAGGGAATGGTGGAAAATATTTCACATCTCGTCAAAATACTGATTGCCTTTGACAATATCGAACGACAATGCTGAAATATTGTCAGAGCTCGCGTGGCACTTCGCCGCGAGAATCTAATGGCGACCTCCACAGAACGAAGAACAAATTTCGCGATCACTAACAACAAAGCGGTCTCAAAAGAACATATTTTGGATCACATCAAGGTGAAACCGATACAAGGCTCGCGTATGATCTTTTTGGCAACTTAGATCATCGATGTCCTGCTTCTCAAACCATAAATACCACGGTTTTGAAAGCGATCAATGTGTTATCCGTTCGTTCAGTGGGTTCACCCACTTGCTAGCCGGTTGGCCGGTTGTTATGGAGTGGTAACACAAATACTTACCCTGATCTGTGCTTTCAATACTTCTGCTTCTTGCCTAAGACTTTCGAGGTCTCCCGCGCCATGGCTTTGGTTCTGCTGCATTCTGAATCGATTTTTGGTTGAAAGTTGCGCCGAAAGTTACAAGGCAAATTGGGCTCAGTCGTCCGCAAACGCCTGTAGCCGCTTCCAATCCTTCCAAACGCCGCTAATTCAAAATCACCACCGGCCCAGAAAACTGCATGTACTGTTTAAACGGCGTCCACAACTTTCTTTCGTCGAAAACCCCGTTTATAACATGTAGGAGAATCACTCGCTACAATCGTTGGGAGTGGTTCCTTTTCGGCGGCGGCGGACCCTGAAATCTTACTGAGGCCCTCCCATATATAAACCGCGACCGCGATGAGTCATGGACTACAAAATTCTCATTTTTCTGATTTCTTCTCCTTCCATTGCTTCCGTTTCCCCCCTCCGTTTCATTTTCATGAAAGTGGGAAAAACTACAATAAATCAATTCTTCCCATCAAAGTCGCACTTAAATTATCCTGATATAGTTGCAAGGTTTCATTTTGAATATCTGGAAATATCGAACATTTGGGCTTAGTTGCATTAACAGCAAAAATGAATTAAGTTTACATTAATCCTTCTTTCTACCCCTAAACAAATTCTTTTCAAGACCTATGCACATATATTCATTTTGATTGAACACGGACAGGAAGAAGTTCATATTTTGCCAATTGCTGTTTGCTGTAAAAGTCCGGTCTGACCAGATATGAGATACAAGAAAAATGCACATGACTGCCTTTGTGCGCTAAGTTTTGAGGTCAACAAACTCCTACTCTTCAAAATCAGTTGAAAAGGAAAATCTTCCTCTTAAAAAATTAGTTCTTGTCGCAAGGAATAATGAAAAAGTATTTCACTGTCGCCATTTCCTTCACCTTTTCTGTCGTTTTCTCTGAAAAAAAAAACTGCAAATTGATGCATCAGTCTTTATTTTCGCGCCGAAATTTCTCACCTTTTTTGAGCTTACGAACGAAGTAAAGTCTTCTTACTCCCCCCCCCCCTCCCCCCCCCCCCCCCCCGTGTAAGACAGAGGCTCGGGAATCTCGGAAATGGCTCATTCATTATCAAATTTTTCTCTTTCATGCGTGCTCAGCTCATCTTTGATTCGAAAGTTGTCTTGTTGTCCTTTGTATTAGACGTCCTTATTTGGACAAATCCTCCGCCTTGCCCAGGGCTCAAAGCTTGAAAACGACGTGATTTCATGCGACCTTGGACAACAAACATTACAAAATAACTGACCTAAGTCAATGACTTATTGATAACTCAAAGGAAATTGAAATAGTTACGTTTATTTCATAAAAGCAATAGACTGAAGAGTAAGAGAATATCAAAATTTATTTGTATTTGTGGGGAAAAATGACTGGAATGCAACGAAGCATAAGGTCCTCTTAGGGGGATCTGGGTATTTCCAGTCAATATGAGAATTTCCTGTATCTCCTTTAACCTTTATTTCCTGACATCACAATGCGCGTTTACCACGTTGGCTCTACAAATTTCCGGTTATTGACGGGGAGAGTTTATTTAAAGACAAAGAGTTTCTTTAGTAGGTGATCATTTTTTTTACTCTCATAACCGACTTTTAATGATGAATTCAGGCGTGATGTCGCAAGGAGAAATTAGCTGATAGTCAGTCTTTGGGGTTAAAGGATTAATTGCATCGTTTTGCCTCAATGACGAGGACGCTTTCGGTCATTTTCATCCACTTCCGGTTCCTTTTCGGGGTTCTATCCAGTCCTCAACAGAAACCAAAAATTTGAAGAGGATGACAATAGATATGTAACCATGCAGTATATCAATATTGCTACCAGTAATGTTAAAGGTATTGTTCTGACCCTCTTTTTAAACAGAATCTTCATCAATGATTCGTTCCATTTTTTTTCTTTTTTTGAGCTTGGTAATATTGAATATTGCTGTATCCCATATGCATTTAACCGTTCTTCTGTGACTCTGAGGAAGCTGTCACATATCCGGTTTTCTAGCGAGAAAGTGGACAAATTCAATGGTGGACGAAAATTACTCTTTATTTTTTTTTTCTGTTGTGTCTTTTTTAGTCTGTCTTCCGTTCAGTGTTATTTAGTACATTATAACTTTCTGAAGAGCTTTTTTTCCAGTAATTCACATGTCCTTTCAAAAAAAGCGGGAAATCTTGGCGCGAAAACGAGAGCGGATACCACTTTACTGCACAGTGTCGTCAGAGGAAAAGAAAAAAAAGAGCGAAGGAAGTGTCTACAGTGTACTTTAATCTGCTCTAAAATAACGTCTGCGTTTAACATGCAGACCTCAGAATTCAATTCCCCTTTCATTCCTCAACACCTCCTCTCACAGCCCCAGCAGTGCTCACCTGGAATTGATCAGCTTATTCAAAACGCAGGTGAAAAATTTTTCAAGATCTTTATCAAAAACCTGTCTGACTGTCGGGCATGTAGACAATGCGTAAGTCGTATAAAAATAACTCCTTAGAAATTGCTATCATTTCGTGACAAAAGAGAAATGAAAGTTTTTTGTCAACGTGTTTGAGAGATAATCTAAGATAATCTTGTGGTAGACGAATGATCTGCATGTCTCCAAGTAGTGGAAATAAAGCTTAAAAAACTAAAACATATTTGCAGAACACCTCACACATTTTCTACATCGTGTTTCGTAATTTTTGAACGGTGTTTGTTTTGTCGAAACTTCTCCTCGAAACAGAGTTGGAAAATTCTGAACAAGTCCGCCTTATCGAGACAGAGAAACAGCGATATGCAGGTAATAAAATATAATAATGGCACGTCGCAAACTCGTAAATCTTCTGTAAAATTTATACCGGAAATTTGAAATCATTTTTTAGTTAGATTTAAAGGGGCTAGAATGAAGGGGAAAATTAGGTTTTAAAATAAAATAGTTAATGGGATTTAACAGGATTAAGAAAAACCAAGAAGAAAATATTTCAAAACGTCTTTATGGAAGAGTTATTTTTAAATAAATTGTATTTTAATTTTTTAAAAAAATAGTATTGGATAAAGTATAAGGGGTTTCACAGATTGCAACTCCTCTTCACAAAAATTGAAAGTCAAGTAAATTCCCTTTTCATTTTACAACCTCTACAATCCATGCTGAATAATGATATTTTAGTTTTTGTATCAATTCTGCTGCACAAGAGTTTGGTACACAAGTGTTAACTCTTATCAAATATTTAGCTCTCTTGAAGCAGTTAGAGGGGAAAAATCAGAAAACTGAAGAATTAGAAAAGTCTACCACACAACTTGATGAAGAAGCTAAGCAGCTGCACAAACAATTTACACAAAACAGGGAGATATGTGCGAGGTAAAGAGTAACATCATGGTTTCCATAAAAAACAGTAGAGGTGCTCTAGGGGTGCAAATGCTCAGCTCTTGGTCATTGTTTTATTATGTTAGACTTACTACGGAAAATCTGGTCAGTTGGGAGTATTCACTCAAGATACAATGGCATGTGAAGTTGACATAATATGGCAATATCTGCAGCAGATATGCATTCATCACATTGAATTCAAAGTCTGCCTAGTTTCCTACCCTTTTGTCCATGCAGTGTTCTCAACCTTTGCAAACTCAGAGAAAAGTATCTTCCTCTGAGGATTGTTTAAAAAATGTATAAAAAAAACAATTATTGAATTCAGTTTTTTTTTTGCATTATATGGATTACCTAACCTTGTTCCTGTGTTATCTACTTCAGCCTGCGGCTTTGGTTGATAACACTTATCTTGGTTTTAGTGATTCATGCTATCATGCTCAAACTCATCCAACAATTGCATATAGTTGTTTTGCAACTTCTAATCTGAAAACTTTAAAAAGATTAACCTTGAATGCCCTTGACCTTCAACTTACCAAACTGTGTATCACCCATTCAGAACAAAGTATATCAACCAGTTACTATCAGATATCTCCCTCCCACCCTGAAAAACACATAAAATAGCTAGAAAATGTTTGGAAGCTGACAACAGCTAATTCTTTTGTTTCACCTGCAGCTTGAAACGAACCAATTGTGTTCTACAAGAACATGAAGAAGCCATGGAGAAAAAGAAGGAAATGGTGGTTGATAAACTTGAGAAAGCCAGGTGAGAGTAATAATAATTCCAAGTGGTGTAAATCATTTACAATTTGCTTCAGCTACAACTGTTCTATCTGGAATTTCATCCTAACCTTAATTTTTATTTAGGTCCAACAACCAAAGCATCCTCAACAAGTATGAGGCAATATGGGACAGATATAAGAAGCAGTATGAAAGTAAAGAAAATGCTCAGGAGCTCACAAAGATAAAGAAAAACACCATGGAAATCAAAGAAGAATGTAAGTTTCTAGTGATAGTCATGTCATTTATCTACTTCCAGTGATTATAGAAATGTTGGAAGATACCATGTTGCAGTTACAAATTGTTAATTTGTTGGTAACATTTCATTTTACTTAGTGCAGACAATACGATCCAGTATCCAGCAAACAGAAGAAGGTATTTCCTGCATGGAAAAAGAAAAGAAGAACATTGAAGGTATCATATATGGGTCATTTCCTAATGTTATTGTTAGGATAATTCATCAACCTTAAAACCTTGCTGATTTAGCTTTCTAACCACTAAGAGTGATTAGAATCTAATTTCTCCCAACAGTACCATTGCTGAATCAAAAACTTCTGTCATGAGAATAAAGGAAATTATTATCCCCTAGAAAAACTCTTATCTGCTAAACAAACTCTCCTTGTCAGTACCATAGATTATGAGGAATGGTATACTGTAAACTGATGTAAGAGACCAAAGGATTAAACAAACTTAACCAAACATCTTTATCAATCTAATTTCAGAATCACTAAAGAAAGGAATCACATCTGCTATTCCACTTATGATCCAACTGTATCCTTCAAACACTTCACATTAATGAGAAATTTTGATCAATTACTCACAGTTGATTTAATCAGAATCAGCCCATTTTATTACATCAGCTGAAAATCAACTATCAGTATAAGAGTTTGTGTTATTGCAGAGCCTATCAGTGAAAAGTATAGTCACTTTGGAGGGCTCAGAATTAAAGTTATATTCTTTGACAGTGTAAAGAGCTCAGCTGAATATTGAGAGAAGAACAACTGAAGACTACATAGAGAGGATCAGATCCAAAATAGCCAACACCAAACAAGCAGACTTCAGCAAATGTGTGAATGAAGGTCATCAAGAGAAAAATTCCCAAGATGAAAATACTTCTCAACCTCACACCCCAATGATGATGTCACAGCAAGTTGAGCACTCATTTTTTGAACAGTCCTCAAAACAAGAGAGCATTGTGTTAAATATGGAAGTGGAGTCATGTGAAGACCAAAATGTGCCAATCCAGCAAAAAGAGGCTGTACCAATGGAGAGATATTCTCCTGAGCAGTTATCAGACACTCTATATCAGCAGAGAAGGCATTACACAGATGATCAAACAAGTCCAGCTCATGAGCAGAGCTGTACAGACCCACACCTTCAGTCTTTAGGTGACAAATTGGCAAATAGAGAGTGCTGTAATATTTCAATCCCCCATATACAAAATACTACAATATATATTATGGCAACAGGACTGAGTGGAGTCCAATTTGGTCTGTGATTGTAAGTGTATACAAAATTGGACAATCTTGAAGTGGGAGTCTAATTTGTCAATCACAAGTTTGATTACAGACTGAAATGGATGACAAAAAGTCCTAATACCAATTGCTCATAACCATTACATTTTCCATTTATTTGAGAAAATATCTCTAGTAGAGAAATTGTCTAAAGTAAAAAATTCCTCCATTTTGGAAACTCCTCAGTTTTGTAGGGTAAGCAGTTGTTGCTATGGTTATTGTAATAAATTCTGTGATTAGTGGATCTAGTTTAAAGGACTTAGTGTCATTGGCTGCTCTAAATATCTGATTATATGTGTCTGATTACAGCCAATTGTCCAATTACACTGACCAATTTCAACTCTACAAAATACAGAGTTGAATATAATTACTGCGAAGATTGCTTTCACATTCAGAATATTAAATACAATTGAGGAATTTGGAATTGGTTATGATTAAGATTGTTATAACCATAAGAAATGTACTGGATAAGCGTTTGAATTTCTGCAACTATTAAATTCCAAAAAATGGTTGACAGACATCAAAGTAACCGATTAAAATATTCTCCATCAATTTTTTTAACTCTTCTTTAGCTTAATGTTTAATCCAGTTGAATATAGTCAAAAGTATTCATATTTCATACAAAACAGCTGTAGCTGAAACTACATCAACTTCAAATGATGACGAGGAACAGACAGTCCTTCCTACAACACCAACATCAACAGGACAGCCAAACTGTGGTTCCATTTCAACCTCAGAAGTTGTCAAAAGTCCATTTAACTTTGAAGTGCACTCAGATATGATCCTACAGCTCACCAAATCACCTGGGGATGGTTTTCTGTTTCATAATCGTCCAATGTTTGACCATAGCTCTGTGGATCCAGAAAACAATCAGGTATTAAACCTTTACAACCTAACATCAGTATGCACATCCTCCATACTGTTATCTACACTTTTCCTAAGGTGCTGACCAGGAGAATTTGTTTCACAATCAAGGACTTTCTTAGTTGGTGATCATTTCTGTTATTCTCATGATCTCAAATGAATGATTAAGCAGTATAATTGTCAGGAGAAACTAGATGTTGGTCACTCCTAGGGTTTAAAGGGTAAGAGCGAAAAGAAATGACAAAGAGCTACTAATTTGAGTGTGTTTCAATGGAGTGTTGAAAGGAGTCCAGGATTGTATCAGTTCTGCTTTACTGTGCTCTAGGTTGATCTAGAAAAGATATGCCACTTCTAAAGCATAAAGATGTATTTTTTTTAAAATCAAAACCACTCACAACTCTATAACATTTATTTTACAATGCTTTGGAAGTTTGCATGTTTCTTCTTTTAATTCTCATTGAATTCTTATGTTTTTTCCTGAGGTCTGATCGGTTATTGTCAGTGATTACTTTAGTTGTGGTTTTAATACACTCAGTGAAAACTATGAGAACTATGCATTCTCAATATTCCTGATTTAAGGTTTAAACATAAGAAATAAAGACTTAATCTATATAATCTATAACTACAAGTTTGTATATAAGTTAAGATCAATAATCATTAATGATTGATGAAATTGTCAAAGCATCAAACCGTAACCAGGAAACAAAATTTCTGTCTCACAAATTTTTATTTTAGCCAAGTGCAGATAGTACACCTTTTACATTCAACATGCAAGGGACAAGGAATACCTCAGGATCAGTTGGTAAGTAATTCAAAGAGTGTTAGGATTGTACTCATGACAGAAATGATAGATAAGTCTGATTGCATGAGATTTTACTGCTATTATTTTAGCACTGCATGACATTGCTAAGCATTTCCTGCTGAAAGTTCAGCAAGATTTAGGATTAAAAAAACATATTTCTTGATATTTGGTGTCACCAGGGGATTTATCATGATAATAAAAAGACACTTGGTGAACACAGTAATATGGATATCTGCTGTATCAAGGCAAATTATGTGGCAAATACATCTTCCTAATAAGAATTATCATACCAGTGAATATCTGATCCCTGCAGCAATCAATGTTTATTTTAGCTTGTTTTAAAAATTCTTAAAAATTGATGACAGTTTCATTTGAAAGGAATTTCAAAAGTTAAAATTATGTGTTTTTTTTTATACTCTTAGATCATTTGATAATCATGACCAAAAAGTTTGCAGAGGAAGAATAAAACTTAACACAAAACTGTCCTATTTTTTATACTCTGATTAATTGGTAAATACTGGAACAAGAAAGAAGGAAAGAAAGAAAGATAGGTCATCGGAATGTAATTTTCACGTGTAAATGGACTCTTCTACATTCAGAGATTAAACCAGATCTCAGCCAGAGAACAATGACCTAAAGGTTTTAATTAAAAACAAACAATAAAATGATTTTTTTGCATTGTGAAAGGCTGACTAAGGGTTAATATGATTAGCAAAGCTGTTTTCTTATAAAATATTGTAACAATGTCTTGGTGTAATCAAGGCAAGCTGGTGACCTGTTGATGTTGTGCCAAAAGATGAAGTTTGTAATTTGTTATAACTACTAGTAAACACTGTTAGATAAGATCAAAAAGTTATCATGCTTTATTTCTAGTGTGAAAACATCACATCAGAATTATCCACACATGCTATTCAAACAGTTTTTCCATATATTCTCCTCCTAGTAATTCACAATTGCTTTAAAGTGGACTATAACCATAATAACTACAGTAACTATTGGCTTACTTTCATGCCTGTTGTAAAGTTCAAACACTTGCTACAACATCTGTTTTCAGAGCAATTTTCATTTATCTTTCTTCTCTTTTTGCAGGGTCAGTTGGTGAGTTTGATTTAGGAAGGCCTGCTGTAAACCTCTTTGAACCATCAACAACCACAGAAAGTAGAAGTAGCATGGGTCTCTTTGGTACAAGCATGTCACCGGTAGTAAGTGGCTGTTCAATCTTTGGAGATGTAGATTCTACCAGCCGATCAAAAAGCCCAGAGGCCTTCACTTTCTCTTTTGGGACAACTTCCCAATCTGGCATTACCAAAAGCCCAAACAGACCTGCATTCAGCTTGTTTTAAATCTGAAAAAATACAAAAAAAAAATGGGGATGAGGAATTTTAAAATTGTTTGTAACGTTTTATCAGTCTCTATTTTACCAGAGGTGAAAGAGTAATAAAAATTTTGCATTGCAAACTGTATTTTTCTGTACTTTTGGAAAAGAGGCTATAGCCCAGATTTATCATTTACCTAACAATTAGCCTTGCTAACCACAAATTATCCCTGAAGTGTAATACAATTTAATAAGCAAATGAGTGTTGTCAAGAAGCTGGTCCTAAGGAAATTGGGGGATGTGGAGAAGGAGGGATAGATAACTGTCTGTGGGGTCAACTTGGCCTGAGGCATTTTATCCATCTAGGGAAATTACTCATTCAAAATCAACGGCTTTTTGCCAAAGAATGTTTGCCCTATGTTGGGAATTTAACCTTCCCAAAGACGCAGTCACACCCTGATCAACAGTAACGACCGGTTTCAGCCCAGATTTTGAATCAAACTAGTAGGACGTATCGAAAATCTCTTTCAAAATAACGCTCTCAATTTGAAATGACTGATGGAATCCCCTTAGAAGTAAACAGGTGTCTACGTTTAAACTTTTCATTGAAATTTTGGGTTCCAGACAGTTCCTGTGTGGTATCATCCAACAGGAAACCGGCTCGCGATTAGTATCTTAGATGCAACGTAATCGGATCAATTGACCTCAAAAACCAAGCCGTGACGAAGTTTGTATCGTGTTGATTTAATTTTCTCTAGTACTCAACTTAACTTTAAGTTAACACGCTAGGATAAATACGGCAATGTGGGAGGGTTTGCGTTTGTTTCACAACCTTCAGTAAATAAACACACATCTGTGGTATTTTAGAAGAGTGTTTATTTTATTTTGAGGACTTACCAGAGAGTAACAAATACCAAAGATTTCTTCACTGACAGATTCCTGTTTCTCGTCTTCATGATGTATGATCAGAGACAAGCTTTAACCGCGCCGTAATGCTATTAAATTCATTAAATCCGTAAAACTTGCTCATTCGCATATCCAATCATGCGTGAAGCTAGTGTTGTGATTCACTGATCTTTGCGGCATTTTGACTTTAAACTGAAAACGGCGGTCGGAAGTCCTTTGTGCGGAAACTACTAAGAGCGGAAAGAGTCACTCGAGTAGGCGAGTAGAGTAGATTTCTCAATCATTTGGTAAGAGCAATTTTACGTGTACAGTACTTACCATCAGCTTGATCGACAGATTTCACACGAGTTCTGAAGATCTTTACTCTCCAAGATCTACCTTTTTACCTATGATTCGCGCGAATATTATTATTATTTTCTTTTTGGTGATCTTTTGTGATGAATGTGTTGTTGTCTAACTGGATTGTGTCTCGCCGCTCTTTGATTGGCCGACATTACCCATGTGACCCAACAGTGATTGATGTGCCAGCCATGCAATAGGACTTCTTGTTCATGTTGGTGTGGTGAAGAGTGTCTTGATCAAAATGGACGAAACAAAAGTTATATACCACATCGACGACGAAGATACGCCGTACCTTGTAAAGCTACCTAAAAGTCCTTCAGAGGTTACTCTATCGGACTTTAAAAATGTCCTCAATCGACCGAGTTACAAGTTCTTTTTCAAAAGTATGGATGACGATTTCGGGTGAGTTGATGTGTAACTACTGTACGCTGTATGTAGATTGCTTTCATAGCAGTGTTTACGTTGTCTCTTGCTCTAAAGTCATTTCCCTAGCGGAACACCTTTGATTTTCAAAAGAGTTCATATTTGTATAGCATATTCTGAAATGCGTTTGTTTTGAAAAAAACACTGGAATCCTTTCGAATGCTACGAGCTCCAGAATATTGCTGTCAAATATTCCCGGCTTCTCATACTTGCTAGTGTTCAAGGTGTAAGCTTACAGTAGCGCTGCGATTAGAGACTCGATGTGTTTATCGCCTGTACATGCCTACCGCTTGTTCAAACAATTTTCCATTATTTCTAACTACTCAAGGCGAAGTCTTTTTGTCGCTTCTTCGCGCAGATTTTATGCATTCCAGCCAAACTCTTGATAGCGCGTTTTGCCTGTAACCGATACCTTCAGTTGATAATTTCTAATTCCTATTGCAGTGTGGTCAAAGAAGAGATAAGCGATGAAGAGATGAATTTGCCTTGCTTTAATGGACGGGTAGTTGCTTGGGTAAGCCGTCTGTCATTGAATTTTTTTAAAAAACATAACCTGCCGATGGATTACCGATCGAAGCCAGCCAAAAGAGCTAGTGTGTTGACGTATTTTCGTAGCAGGGAACACAATTTATCTTAGATTGTAACTTGATCATGATCGTGCATAGCAGGCGATTGCCTTTTTTAACTCTTATTTTAGCCGGGAAACCTTTTTTCCTTTTTTTCCCGTGCATTTTCCCTCCTCGACAGCATGATTTGAGGACGCATATCCGTCTGGCGCCTGACGCTGTGTTTATACACTTCTTAGTATGATCTTGTTTTACGGTTATTATTTGGAACGCTATCGAACGACATAGAGTTAGTCCTCAATATAAACACATTTCGACTTGGATTTGTCACCCTATCTTTTAAGTTTTTTGTGGAAATCGTCGCACTACAACATCCAAACCTCAAATGTCGCTCGTCGTATTTTATCTTCAGAAAGATATTGGCTTGTCGATTGTCCCTCGGTAATCAGGTTTTCTTGATTGTACAAAACCTCATCTTTAATTTATATCACACTGAGTTCCTACTGAGTCAATTGTTTGGAACCAAGATTTAATCTTGATTATACGGAAGAACTAGTAACTGTTCCTCAGATGTAAACAGTTTGCTCTTTTGCCGTATAGCTCTGCGAACGATTTTTTGTTCGATCGCGTTACAACCTTCACTTAGTCCCACGCGTATAGCAGCCGCTAATTTACATTCCTATGTTTAGCAAAAAAAAGCATAGTAATTTACTCAAGTTAAGTCTTAAACCAGTGCTCGAGAAGCTCTGCGTTATTTAAAGCGAAGTGCTGTTACAAGATTTGCAATTAGAAAACCATCTATCAACTTAGAGGGGTTATTTTTTACTTCGTTACTCATCAAATCTTCGCACTCCAAGATTTTTCATCTCCCAGTTCTCGTAAATTCTCGCTCTTTTTTTCCTTGGAAGCACTCTCTTTTCATATAAATCCATTATAGATAAACTTAATCGTATGAACCATTTCGAGATCAATTTTATATATTACTATGCTACAAGATGAAGAGCCAAGCAATGGAATGAGCGCGCCAAATAGGATGCCCTTTCTCGTTTGTTCTTAATTTGTATCGCCTAAATGGGTTTTTTTGTGTTTTCGTTCGGAATCGCGGCTGACTGGCCACCCAGCGATTGACTGATAACAGCATAAGTGATGTGATGGCAAGTAAAACACATTTAAGACAGATGTTTTGGTAAGACAACTCATTACCAATATTGAAGACTCACAATTCACGCTCACATCACATGGAATGCCAGGATTAAGCATGGATTAGTCAGTTCACAGCAGTGATTGGTATTTTAGTACTTTAGACACCTTATAAATACTCGAGGTTTGGTTTCTTTTCTGTTCCATATGACACAGTTCTTTTTTATGGCATATTAAAATTGAAATTTTATACAGCTGGTTTTGTTCGGTTAACTGTCAGTTTCGCTTTGTCATAAAGTCCAGGTATTTCATTCATAGATGGACGTGCTAATGGCCTTGTTGGCATACCTCATTAGCATCCTTTTGAGAGATTAAAACAATTAAGCTTTATTTTGGACAAATGATGGTAGCCTGTAGGATTAAAAAAATATTTGTTCGTCAACTGGTTAGGTGTGCCATTAAAATATCTATTTTAGCTTACATTTTGAGTCTAAGGTATCAAAAAAATTTATTTCTAACATTTATTGCTGGTTGATTGCAAAAATATAATTGATTGTTCTTAGGAGGCTTCATCATAAGTTCATTAAATCTCTGGATAATAATATCGCAAGAAGGAAAGTGAAAAATGTTCAGTTATGCTTTTTTCCTATTTTTAAATATTTAGGCATTGCTCCACAATCCTCATGGTTTTAGCTCTTTGTTAAGGAGCTTTACTCTTTGCTTTGTTGATAAATCCAATTTGTGTGGTGGCTTTTTAATCATGGAAAGGCAAACCACTGAATGATCAACTGTAATATTTTAAACAAGCACAAAATATCTTACTGCCTATGTATTGTTCATCAAGTGATTTAATTGCTTTCTTGTGACAATAATAAAAGCTCTTAAACTGACAAGGCCAGCCTTAAATGATATTGTTAATTGCTGAAGTCTGCCTCAGAAGAATTGTTCTAATATTTTCCTTCTGATTTGTCATAAAGGAAATCACACCGTAGGCATTTTCTTGTTTTGAATTGTATGCAAAGTTTGTTTACAGGTTGAAGAAACCTAAATTTTGTATTCACTCCCTGGAGGCATGTCATTAATAGGATAAAATCTGTCTCTAGTTGCAAAGAATGTGCTGTATGTAAGGATTACATTTGTATCCTGGACCAAAAGAAATCACTGATTACAAATCTAATTAGTTTATCAGCTGTCAGATTTGGGCTCTTTGGGTGTAGATTTCTCCATAGAAATGCAATTTCCTGAAACTTTTATGGCAATGTAATTAATTATTGAAGAAGTTCGAAAAATGGTTGAATTAAGAGGTTAATCACATACAAGAATCAAGAATCTCTCAAAATCTGTTCTCAAATTGGTGGTTAATAGGATTGGTGATATTAAGAGAAAATTAAAATTTTTGTAGTTGATGAAGAGAAGGCAGCCATGGTGTAAAAGTGTCATTTCTTTCATACAATTTTCATTCACTGTGCAAGCATAGATCTTTGTCAGCTCTTCTCAAAATAGTAGTCTTACTCAAACATACATTGTTACTCATTCTTTACCTTTTTGATATGATTCAGTTCCACTTATTAACCTCTGGACCCCCTACGTGCCTAGCATCTAATTTTTCCTTCCAAAATCACCCCTGAATCATGCATTAAGGTCACAAGAATAAAGAAAATGGCCTCAACTAAAGAAGATCTTGATTGTTAAACAATTCTCCTA